CGGCAGGGGTTGCCAGTGCCATCAGCCGCTGCGTCAGCGTGTGCGGCCAGGGCGAGGACCTCTCCATTGTGAAGGAGAGAAGGAGCGAGGGTTTTTTTGCAAAGTCATAGTCTGTTGAAATAGTGCATATAGTGTTAGTAGTATTATCGGAGAACGCGAGGACATTTTTGCAAGTTGGTCGGCGCGCGCGGGCTCCCCCATCATGGTCCATTTACGCACGTGGGTCGTGCCTTGCGTGGGCCGAGTTGGGCCACGTGGGAGGGAATCATTTTCCTTTTTAAGGATTAGAAATAGCTTATTATTTTATGTTGTAAGTAGAACTTTGGAAAAAGCTTATCAATTCGAGCAGGTGTCTAAAAATTGTGAAACCAATTTTGGTAGATTCCTAAAATTGTGCTCTATTTGTTAGTGCATTTAGTTCATATATATATTTGTTGATACTAGCGGCTATTAAATCATTTACGAGTGTTTAGTATTGTTTAGATTAGTATATGTATAAATTTTTGTGGCAAATTGGTAATAGCTTTGACCATGGAATTTTTATAGTAGATTCACTGTATTATTATGTGCTCACTATAATTTTTGTAGCCTTAGAATAGGTTGAGAAATATGGTAGCTAAGTACTCCTTGTTGTAGTATATAGGAAATCGTTAATAAGAGTAAGAATATATTTTAGTTGCTAAGTTGCACTTGTAGGTGAAACCCTGCTGGTTTGAGGGGAATGATGATTAGCTCGGTATCTTAGTCATTAGAGCTAGCTTAGTGTCTTAGTAGATGTATTCTTATTTTAAGAACTGCTCTTGCCTTAATATTGAGTGTTGCATCGTCATTGCATGCATGTAGAGGACGAGTTGGTGGAGTTCATGACCGCGGGTGAGCTGGAGTACGAAGAGGTGATTAACAAGTACGAGGAGGCGATCCTTGTGCAGGAGGAGGTCCCAAAGCCACCACTGACTGAGCTGAGCTGACACCGCGTCTCCTCAAGGCAAGCCCCGGTGCATAACCCTTATTTTGAATGATCACTATATATATATATATGATGTGTATTTACGTTACAGGCATTTTATGGAAACTACATGCATAGATAACCTACCTATGAGTCCTACTAGCATAGGTCGAGTAGCTACTATGCTTAGGCTATCGGTAGCGTGACTAACCTGTAGTTACTCACAATAGGTGATTATTATTATCACTCATGATAAAGTGGTGAAAGGAAATGGAGATCGGGCAGTGATATGGTACGGATATTGGTGGGTGTAAGGGGTTGTGTCCCGCGGCCAATGGGGCATAACTTGGTTACACTGTTTTCCCTATCCGTGTCAGTTAAGGACCGGCCATTGCATTGAATTCTAGTCAGGTCAGACTTATTATCCCGAGCACATACTTGTTTATGTGAGCAGAGAAGGCTCGTTGCTCTCTTGTCGTGGGTTCCGGCTCTTTCCAGACAGACTGATTGGAGACGGGGATGGTGGAGGTCTAAGCACCACACTGAGTCTGAGACTCAGGTGTGGGGGCTTAGAGTCCAAGTTTGGACGGGGACCCGGACCCCTTGATAGGAAAGTGATGGGTTGGTCCTGCTTGTGCCTAGGGTACAAGCGGTGCATGTGTTTCGGGGTACCCAGCTGGGCACATTAATTCGTGAATCGCCGGGTAATCCAGTACCACTTACCTACAATCTAGCACCGTAGTAAGAACTGGAAGATGAAAGATGGTGAAATAGATCTGATTGCTCAACTCTTGCTTAAAAGTAGAACAGGTGCTTATATAGAATGGTTAGCTAATGAACTAATCATAACTGCTAATAAAACACATACATAAGGATTCAGTACTAGTATTGCTTTTTGCAAAAAGGAAACCATAAAGCTTATCATAGCCTTCAGAGTAGGGAAATACTTCCCACTAGTCTAGTAAGTCTTGCGAGTACACTGTGTACTCAAGGTTTATTTACCCCTGTTACAGGTGCAGCTTGAGGAGTAGCTGTTGTGTGGAGGATTCTTTTGGTGGGTACAGACGGATCCTTATATCTTACCTTTAGATGTTTATTGTAATTTCGCTATTTAAATTTCGTACTCTGAACTTGATATTGTAATAATGTATTTCTAAGAACTCTTGTTGTATGAAATGGATTAAGTATTGTAAACTCGTTATCATTATTGGATTCTGGAGGAAAACGTGGATTATTTGAGTTCTCCCTTGGGGTGTGCTCAACGGAACCATCCGATGTATCCAGCTTTCGGGGTGCTTAGTGTCTGGTGGAAGATGGATGCATCTGGAAGCTTGCTATTTCGGACGGTTGTGCCACATTTTCATCTCTGGGTTTTGCTCCCCCATGGTTCCAAAAGAGCCGTTAGGCAAGCGGGCGCAGGAGTCTCTGAAATCTGTTGCCCCATGGTAGTAGGTAGCCACAGCGACACCACAAGCAATGAGCTGCACAAGTAAGCAACGTCAATCGGCAAGTGAGAACTCACAAAAGGTGTGAATTCTATCGAAATGGACTGAAGCACATGCTAGTCGAGGAATTGTGTCAGTAAATTGTCCATTTTTTTCTAGAAATCACTGGTAGTTTCTGTGTCAATCAAGTTCAGGCTTCAGCAGGGATGTATAGCTTCTGCTAATTTGCCAAAAATCAGGATTAGGACCATTTAATCCAACACATTGAGCAATAAACTATTGATTAATTCTTGTTAAGTAGTACACGAATAAAGAGCTTCATGAATGTTTTTGGTAACACATTCTTTCCCAGCCTGTAGCCATTAGAAAGGAACTTATTTGATAGGGTATTACAAATACTCAGGAGTCAGGACAAAGAGTGAAATGAGGCAATTGTTGTCTGGCACTTAAAAGGTATTCTGTTGTGATGCCTCAAGTTACACATCAAAGCTGAAGACAAATGCACACTATTATACTGCAATACTCAATTCTCTAGTCAAAAGTGTTCCGCTAACATTTAAACATTAGAAAATGCTACGGTACAATCTTTACTTAGCCGTCTGATCTCAGCTACCGAACCATGGAATAGCGTACAGAAGGAGCGCCCGCTCGCCCGTGTAACGGAACCACGAAACAGAAGGAGTGCCCACCGACGCCACTCGCGGTGGGCCCACCGTGCCGCTAGCATCGAGAAGAAGGGAAGGGGGCGGCGTCCACATGCGCCTCTGGTTCGGATGTCCAGCCGGCGCCGAGAGAAGTTGGAGACACCAAGGCAAACCACTCAAAGGCGAGGAGCAAGCGAGATGCAACACCCGATCTACTTTTAAAACATCCAGATGCAACACTTGCTACATACATATGAAGGCAGATGAAACATTTGAAACATGTATTTGAAACACTTGCAAAAACATCTAAAAACACTTGAAAACCATGTAAAACATACACAACATCCAGATAAATACTTGCAACATATGTGTGAAACATATGCAACATTCAAATAAACACACTTGCAACATATGTCTGAAAAACAGCTGAAACATTGGGCACAAAAGCTTGCAACATACGTGTACAACCATTACAACATGTGCAACATCCCGATCTACTTTTGCAACATTCACATAAAACACTTGCAACATTTTTAAATACTTGAAACATACTCTTGCAACACCTATTTTTAGCGCGCAATGTTACCTTGCTGCTTGGACGAATCGCGGAGCTCGACGCCGGTGGGAGGTCGGCAATGGCTCATGGAGCTCGCCGGTGCACCCCTGGGCGAGGACTTGCTCGGCAGCCTGGGTGAGGATCTACGCGAGCACCCCTGGGCGAGCACTTGCTCGATGGCCTAGGCCAGCGCACCATTGGCGAGCACCTGCTCGGCGCCTAAGCGGGCAGCGGAGGCGGTCGCGGCGGCGCGAATGCCGTGGTGTAGGCAAGCAACGCGGTGGAGCCCAGAGTGGGGAAGGTGGGTAGCGCGGTGGGAGCGGGCGTGAAGGTCCGATGGAGTGGTGGATAAGCCTCGACGGTGGAGGCCGAGTGCGTAGAGAGAATTTTTTTGGTAAGAGGTGCGGACTGGAACGAGCGGACGAATAAGTAGCTAGTGGAAGCCGCGTCCGTCCGTCCCCGGACGCCCGCACGAGAGCATTACCATTTTTTAAATTAATTAATTAACCTAAGAAAAAATATCTGACTTTGGAGTATCCAGATATGATTGATACCGATATTAAAAGTTTGAATTGGATATTGAACTTTGAACAAATTGCTCACCCAAATTTCTTCGGTTTGTTCACTGTGGCCCAAATGTCCCGACATCATTAGCCCAATTACATCCCAAAACCAGCCTAGCCGGAGTCTTGATGCGTGCTACTCTCTACCATTCAAAAAAAAAAACGTGATCATATGGTTTAAATCTTGTCCCAAAAACATGTAAATCTAGATTAAAAATAAGCTTTATGATGGGATCCACCAATAAAAAAATACACATGCAATTGGAAAATCATGTTAACTATGCATTTTTAGTGAAGATTCTAATCGGTTCTTTTGAGTTCCAGATGTGTATCGAGAAGAAAACAGCAGAGACATATGCGTAATTTTACATCTTCACTGGTATAACCATGAAAAACGAGATTTACATGTGTGGGAGGGAGGGAGTAACTCACTAGTAGGCCCCCCTCCCATATAAATTAAAAAAAATACTAGCTCTCTCAGTAGGCCTCGTCCGCCCCGTCGGTTAGCGGCTAGCGTACTAGCGTGGGACTTAGGACCCCGAACGTTCTGGCCAGATCAAAGTAGCTGATCGCACCGCGACCCTGCTATGTGGCGACGCAGGATTGGTACCTCACGTGGACCATCTTTTACGGTGCCCTATGAGCTATGAGGTGGAGGTTCGGCATGGGACATAACACTTTGGTGACTACCACGCTCATCACGGCCACAGCTAGAAGCCCAGAACCTATATAATTCCAGCGTCGGCCTGCCGTTGCAGGATCACAGAAGAATCAATCAACCAAGGCACAGCTCGCAAGTGACGAGATGATTTGAACATCCGAACAACTCATCCGGTAATGACGACAATGAGGACGAAGCCAACTATTCTAGCTCTCATTCTACTCTCTCTTGTTTGCTCAGGGTACTTGGGTAGGGTGGCTGATGGCGTGGAGGCACAGAAGGGGAAGATGGGGAAAGCGGCGTCGGGGCTGGTGATCGGCATCGACCTAGGCACCACGTGTTAGTTGATCTCCACCAATAGGCCCAACGGCCTATTGGGCCCTTGTGTATCTGCTCTATGATCAGGGGAGCCCAACCCTAATATGGTTGGTGGGCCCCTATCACACAGCATAAATAAAAGAGAGGTGGGGATCATGGCTTAAGCTACGAGGTTCGACTGGAGCCGCCACACCCACCTACAGAAAACCCTAATCCGATCCTAAAGAGATGCTGCCAGTGACGGGATGAGCCCGCCACCACCACCGCCGTCGCCTATGTAGGGACACCACCGATACCACAGGACTAGGTCTCCACAACGCCACTGGATCGCCACCACCACGGACTCCACTGAGACAGAGCTACCGCAGCACCGGCGTCTACCCGCTGTTGTACAACTACGGAGAAGACAAGGATGAGGTCTTCCCCGGATCTATGGGTTACACACACAGAGGTACTAGTCATCGATCCTAACAATGGTACCAGAGCAGGTTGCCTCTGTGTAACCCTAACCCTAACCGGGTAAAAGCAAAGAAAAGAGTGACCGAGGTGGCGGACATCACTGTCTATCGGTCATCACCACCACCGTGCATGGGGGGAAAGAAGCCGCACCGCTCGACGGTGCACGACAAAAGTAAAGAACCGAACAGATCTAGTTCGGATCTAAGGAAAGAAGAGTGGATTCGGATTTGGCCGAACCCTAAGAATAACCCTAATTTTAACCCCAATCCCAAATCGGGTTAATCCCAAAAGAAGAAGGGGAAAGGGGAAGAAGGGGAAAGAATCTGGGTTCAACCGAACCCTAACCCTAACTCGCATGGAGAAAGGGAAAAGGGAAAGCCATTCGGATGAACTCCAAAAGAGAAAAAGAAATCAAAAGAAAACGAACGCTAACCCTAGATCCCCTTTTCCGGTGAACAAGCGAAAAGAAAAGAAAGAAAATCCAACTCAAATCCGAAGGGGAAGATCCAAACCCTAACCAGTTCGAAAAAGAGTAACAAAATCCAAATCGAAAAAGAAAGGAGGGAAAAGAAAAGAAAGGAAATTCAAGCGAAAAGAAAAAGAACAAAGAAAAGGGGTCGGCACACAAACCCTAACCCCAATCGGTCAAACAAAGAGAAGCAGACAAGATCTAGATCCGATTGGGGAAGAAGAAGAGAAAAAGAAGGGTCGGAACCCTAACCCTAACCCTAACCCTAGTTTCCCATTCGGATGAACTCGAAAAGAAAAGGAAGAAGAACAATACAAATCCGAAGGGGAAGGGGTGGATCTACCTCGCCGTGCGTCGGGATGTCCCTTCACCGGTGCGGGAGAAGAAGAGCCGAGCCGGCCCTTCGCCGGTGCGGGAGAAGAAGACCGAGCCGGGCTCGGCAAAGGGGTCACCTCGGCCAGGCCGCTCGATGGCGACGCGCTCACCTGCTGGGGAGCGCGCACGCCGGCGAGGGGGCCGGCGACGGTGCCATGGACGCCTTCGCTCGCTCTCGCTCGCTCGGTTGTGCTCGGCTGAGAAGAGAGAGCAAGGTAGAGAGAGGAGAGAGCGGCGAAGAAGAGAGAGAAAGCAAATGCCAAAATGAGCTAGGGTTCCGGGACTCACAGCCGCGGCGACGGTTGTTATACCGCCCGAAATGAACGCTCGGCCGTCCGATCAGATTCAACGGCGCCAGATGCACGGGCCGACTCGCAGCCCTGGCGGGAGCGCGCGGTAGCGCACTTTGTCGGCCAAGGCCCAGGTTGCGGCCTAGGTGTGGCCTGCGCGCGCACGGTGAGCTGGGTCGAGCTGGGTTTTTGCCGTTTTGGGCCGCCGAGAGTAAAGAATGAGCCCGTTTCGCATTTTTCTTTTTCTGGAAAATTGGAAATGCAAATTGGCTCAAAAGAAAAATAGAAAAAGTAAACCCGACATCGGTGGATTTTTATTCGCAGACGGACGGCGAAGATTCACTGGACCTGGATTTGGCCCAGACAGGATAGAGGGCGAGGCCGAATTCCTAGCCCAGGCCCAGGTTGCGGCCTAGGCGCGGGGGAGCGCGCGGGAAGTGCGCGTACGGCCGTGGGCCGTGGGCCACCTTGTCGTTTTGGGCTGAAGGAACAGTACGGAAAAAGAATGAGTTTTTCCTTTTTCTATTTCCAGTGAATGGTTATTTCCTAAAAATTGATTAATGGATTAAAGAAAATAGAAAAAGTAATTTTTCCCTGTGGGTAAAATTCAAGAAATTGAGTGAAAGTTTTTCCGCTGCTAAAGAAATTGTTTATTCTTCAGTTAATTTGTACCAACGTGGTATTTAATTGGAGAAAAAGAAAGTTATTCCGCTGCTAAAGAAATTATTGTTTCTCCAGTTATTTTGAACCAATGTGGTATTTAATTGGAGAAAAAGAGATTTGACATGATTATGATGTTGTTATTTTCTGACCAACGTTGTTAATAATAAAATCATAATTTTAATGATTTATGCATTGATTCTACTTTCGTCCAACGGTGATGTAGAATTAGTGCATAAGAACAGATGTTAATTTTAAAGATTTATGCATTAATTCTACTTCTGCCCAACGGTGATGTAGAATTAGTGTATAAGAACAGTTGTGAAAGTTAAAGATTTATGCATTAATTCTATTTCTGCCCAACGGTGATGTAGAATTAGTGTATAAGAATAATTGTATGTTTTGATTTTGACCAACGTTGGAATCAAGGCATGCAAATGGTGTTATTTTATGTTAAGAAAAGTTTTGACCTAGTTTTCATCTTGTCTAAGGTGGACTGGGTAGTCACCTCACCGTGTTCCACTGAGTTTGTGGCACCCGTGAGGGAGACAAAAGAGAATGATGCCACTTGGACAACTAAAGAGAGGGATTTTGAATCCCAAAAGATATCATATGCCCTTGACTCCTTGAGCATAGGAAATGAATCACTGCCAACAAGAAAAGTTTGGCTATGATAAAGAACACGATCGAGCCTGCAATTGTGGGCTCAATCTCAGAGTATGACACGGTCACCAAGTACTTCGATAGAATAAAGAGTCAGTTCACTGGCTCTTCAAAGACATGTGCTATCCAGCTGATAAAGCAGCTGGTGACAGATAGTCACTCTGACAATGGTGGCATAAGAGAGCTCACAATGCGTCGTCGAAATTATGGCACTATCGTTCATGCCATATTTCGAGGGGGAGAATAGAAAGACTAGTTAAGAATGATATTCTTCCTCCATTAGAGCTCTCAGATTAAGAATAATGCAGAGAATGCATAAAAGGAAATTATGTAAAGAAAGATGCCAAATGAAATGCAGGAATTTTATAGATTATTCACATAGACATCTGTGTTCAGTTTCCTGTAAAGAGTATGGATGGAAATGATTCGTTCATAACATTCACATATGATTACTCATGTTATGTCTACTTTTATCCAATCAAAGAAAGAACAGAAGCATTGGATAAATATAGATATTTAAGGCAAAAGTTGAAATCCAACGCAATTTAAAGAGAAAGATAGTCAGGTCTGACCGTGGGGAGTACTACGGTCGGCATACCCTAAAAGAATGATATAGTAGCCCGGTATTCTACACCGGACGAACCTCAGCAGAATAGAGTAACTAAAAGAATCAATCGTACCCTGATGGATACGGTGGGCAGTATAATAAGTTACTCCACCTTACAGTTGAGCATGTGGATGGAGGTGTTAAAAACCCCATTCATATTCTCAAAAGAGTACCAAGTAAGTTGGTGCCCAAAACACCGTATGAGTTGTGGACAGAAAGAGTGCTCTCACTAAACCACTTGCGTGTGTGTGGGGGAGCCCTGCTGAGGCTAAAGTATTTAACCCAAACATTGGGAAGTTAGATCCCAAAACAGTAAGTTGTCATTTCATTGGCTACACAGAAAAGTCAAAAGGTTTTCATTTTCTACTGTCCAGAGAGACATACAAAGTTTGTGGAAACGAGACACGCTGTCTTCCTAGAGGATGAATTGATGAGGGGGAGCATGGTAGCTCGAGAAATTGACCTTGAAGTGAAGCGGGTGTATGCGCCCACTCCAATGATTCATGAGCCAATTTTCTCATTACCTGCTGTCGCTGCACCGACAGTGCTAGATACTGTGGTGCCATCACATGTTGTTATCCCTCCTGTGGCAACAATGAATGACGATGAGGAACCTGTTCTTCAGGATTCTATAGAACCTATTGCCACACATGAGGGGGAGCAACAACAGCCTCAAACAGAAGATGTGCCAAATGTGGAGGCCCCTAAAAGGTCTCAAAGAGTTAGAAAATGAGCTATTTCTGCTGATTATGAAGTGTATAACACTAAGAAATTTCAAATGGAGGATGATCCCACCTCATTTGAAGAAGCCATGAGAAGTGATCATTCATCAAAATGGCTTGAGGCCATGGAAGATGAAATGAAATCAATGAATGCCAACAAAGTTTGGGACTTGAAAATAATTCTTAAAGGAGCCAAAACAGTAGGCTGTAAATGGGTCTACAGAATAAAACTTGGCTCTCAAGGGAATATAGAGACATATAAAGCGTGACTTGTGGCAAAAAGGCTTTATGCAAAGAGAAGGGATTGATTACAATGAGACATTTTCTCCAGTCTCATATAAAGTTTCCTTCAGAATCATAATGACATTAGTGGCACATTACGATTAAGGATTACATCATATGGATGTAAAGACGACATTTCTCAATAGAGACTTGGAGGAAAATGTTTACATGGCACAACCGAAAGGTTTTGTCATGGAAGGAAAAGAACGAATTGGATGTCGCCTAAAGAAATCCATTCATAGATTAAAACAAGCTTCAAGACAGTGGTACTTGAAGTTTGGTCAAACAATAAAGAATTTTGGGTTTAAAAGAATGTAGAGGACAATTGTGTCTATACAAAGTTTAAGAATGGGAAGTTTATCTTTCTTGTCATGTATGTAGATGATATCTTACTTGCTAGTAGTGATGTTAGTCTACTACTGAAAACAAAGAAATTTGATATGAAAGATCTTGGTGAAGCCTTGTTCGTTCTAGGGATCGAGATTCACCGAGATAGAAGAAAAATGGTATAAGGACTGTCACAAAAGGCATACATGGAAAAGATCTTAAAGAAATTCAGTATGCACAAATGTAGTCCCTCACCTGCTCCTATAGTCAAGGGCGACAGATATGGGGATTTTCAATGTCCCAGGAACCAATATGAGCTCAATCGATAAAGTGAAAGTGGTTCCACATGCTTTAGCTATCGGAAGCTTGCAACATGCTCAAGTATGTACGCGCCCTGACTTGGTATTTGTTACCGGGTTTTACTTGACAGATTCCAGAGCAATTCTGGAATAGAACACTGAAATTAGTAAAGAAAGTCTTACATTATTTGCAAGGAATGAAAGGCCTCACAATGACATATAGAAGATCTGATTCACTCCATATGGTGGGATATTCAGATTCTGATTATGCGAGAGTGAATGCATATCCAGACGTGGATTTTATATCATCTCGCAAAGGGGAGCTATTTCATGGAAATGCTCAATGCAAACCGTCACTACATCGTCCACAATGTATGACAGTTTATAGCGTGTTATGAGGCAACGGGCAGGTGAACTGACTAAAGAAGTTCATACCCGGTTTAAAGGTGGTTGACGACATCTATAGACCACTTAAGTTATACTGCGATTATAATCTAACAGTACAGGATGCTCACAACATAAGTCAAGTGGTGCTGCCAAACACATTGACATAGAGTATTATGTTGTGAAAGATAAAGTCCAGGATCAAGTCATAAGTCTTGAGCATATAAGTACAGAAAAGATGCTCGCGGATCCGCTTATAAAAGGCTTATCACCCAACGTGTTCAGAGAACATGGTGTTCAGAGAACATGTAGCTAGCATGGGTTTAAGGGAAAGCCTATAAAATTCCTAGACAAAAGAAGGCCCAAAGATAAGTATCTATTTCAGAACAGAGTAGTGAGTTGTAGCTGTTAAGTCTATCGGCAATGGACCGTGACGATGAGACATGCTCTATGAGCTAATCTGTAATGGAATGAACAAAAGTAAATGATATGAAAGTGAAAGATGGAATGAGATCGAGGGAGAGGATGTTAGTTGATCTCCATCAATAGGTCCAACGGCCTATTGGGCCCTTGTATCTGCTCCCTGATCGGAGGAGCCCAACCCTAATATGGTTGGTGGGCCCTGTCGCACAGCACAAATAAAAGAGAGGTGGGGATCACGGCTTAAGCTACGAGGTTCGACTAGAGCAGCCACACCCACCTACAGAAAACCCTAATCCGATCCTAAAGAGATGCTGCCAGCGACGGGATGAGCCCGCCACCACCACCGCCGTCGCCTATGCAGGGACACCGCCGACGCCACTGGACTAGGTCTCCACAGCGCCACTGGATCGCCACCACCACGGACTCCACCGAGCCGGAGCTACCGCGGCACCAGCGTCTACCCGCTGTTGTACATCTACGGAGAAGACAATGATGAGGTCTTCCTCGGATCTATGGGTTACACACACAGAGGTACTAATCATCGATCCTAACACCACATACTCGTGCGTCGGGGTGTACCGGAACGGGCACGTGGACATTGTCGCCAACGACCAGGGCAACCGGATCACGCCGTCGTGGGTGGCATTCACCGACGACGAGCGCCTCGTCGGCGAGGCCGCCAAGAACCAGGCGCCGCTCAACCCTGCAGCGCACCATCTTCGACATCAAGCGCCTCATCGGCCGGAGGTTCGACGACGAGGAGGTGCAGCGGGACGTCAAGTACCTCCCCTACAAGGTGGTGAACAAGGGCGGCAAGCAGTACGTGGAGGTGCCGATGAAGGGCGGTGAGAAGAAGACGTTCAGCCCCGAGGAGATCAGCGCCATGATCCTGTCCAAGATGTGGGAGACGGCCGAGACCTACCTCGGCCAGCGCGTCACGGACGCCGTCGTCACCGTGCCGGCCTACTTCAACGACGCGCAGCGGCAGGCGACCAAGGACGCCGGCACCATCGCGGGGCTCAACGTGCCGCGGATCATCAACGAGCCCACGGCTGCGGCGATCGCGTACGGGCTGGACAAGAAGGGCGCGGAGATGAACGTGCTCGTGTACGACCTCGGCGGCGGCACCTTCGACGTCAGCGTGCTCAGCCTCGACCACGGCGTCTTCGAGGTGCTCGCCAACAGCGGCGACACGCACCTCGGTGGCGAGGACTTCGACCAGCGCGTCATGGACCACTTCATCCGCCTCATCAAGCGGAAGCACGGGAAGGACATCAGCAAGGACGGCCGCGCGCTGGGCAAGCTGCGGCGCGAGTGCGAGCGTGCCAAGCGCGCGCTCAGCAACCAGCACCAGGTGCGCGTCGAGATCGAGTCCCTGTTCGACGGCGTCGAATTATCGGAGCAGCTGACGAGGGCCAAGTTCGAGGAGCTCAACATGGACCTGTTCAAGAAGACGCTGGGGCCCGTCAAGAAGGCCATCGCCGACGCCAAGCTCAAGAAGTCCGACATCGACGAGATTGTACTCGTTGGCGGCAGCACCAGGATCCCCAAGGTGCAGGAGCTCCTTACGGAGATGTTCGACGGCAAGGAGCCCAACAAGGGGATCAACCCCGACGAGGCCGTGGCCTATGGAGCCGCCGTCCAGGGCATCATCATCAGCGGCGAGGGAGGCGCCGAGACCAAAGGTAATAGTGCTTTCACTTGCTTTTGTGTGTAATCAATTTGTGGTGATGTAATGCTTCGACGCTGACAAGCCATTCTCTCGTTGTTCTTGGACTGATGGCCAGACATCTTGCTGCTCGACGTGACGCCGCTGACGCTGGGGATCGAGACGGCCGGCGGCGTGATGACGAAGCTGATCCCGCGGAACACGAGGATCCCGGTGAAGAAGTAGCAAGTGTTCACGACCTACGAGGACCACCAGACGACCGTCTCGATCAAGGTGTTCGAGTACGAGCGGAGCCTGACCAAGGACTGCCGCGAGCTGGGGCGGTTCGACCTGACGGGCATCCCGCCGGCGCCCCGCGGCGTGCCGCAGATCGAGGTGACATTCGAGGTGGACGAGAACAGCATCCTCCACGTGACCGCGGCGGACAAGGCGGGCGGGCGGTCCAAGTCGATCACCATCACCAACGACAAGGGCCGGCTCAGCCAGGAGGAGATCGACCGGATAGTGCGCGAGGCCGAGGAGTTCGCGGAGGAGGACCGCCGCGTCCGGGAGCGCGTCGACGCGTGGAACCGTCTGGAGAATTACGTGTACCGCGTGCGCGCCACGGTGCGGGACGGCAGCGGCATGGCGGTGAAGATCGGCGAGGAGGACATGGAGCGGGTGGAGGCCGCCCTGGCGGAGGCGCTAGAGTGGCTGGAGGAGCAGGACGGCGCCGGGGTCGAACGGCGGAGAAGGAGGACTACGAGGAGAAGCTCAGGGAGGTGGAGGAGGTGTGCGGCCCAATCATCAAGCAGGTGTATGAGAAGTCGGCCGGGTCGGCCGGCGCCGCGGACGAGGATGACGTGAACGAGCTGTAGAGTGTCCGCGACGAGCTCCATGTAGAGCATTCCGGTTGACGAGGGTGTTCGACTGTTCGGAGGGGATCATGATGCGTTGTAAATAACTTATCGCTGTAAAGTGAAGACCTTGCTATTGGTAGTAGTACTAGTAAGAATCATTTTCACTTCTTTTTCAGATAGTGCATCAATCAAATGGTACGTACATTAGCCTAGGCACACTAGAAATCAATGGAATAGGCACTTGCAACGACCTTGGATAGTTGGATCTATAATATTTGATCCGTGTAGACGAGATGGATTGTATGCATCGTCATCTACCACTCTACCTGGATGGCTGAAACACGCGAAAAACATCATAATATAAGCGAGGAAAAAACTGCGTTGTACGCGCCAGGCTACCGTTAGGAGTATAGCTCAGCCGTGCTCCCCTTGGCACGCCACCGGGAGTGGGCGCGGCGCGGCGAACTCCGCGGCCTCCGAGCCGAACACGTAGCGCGCCCACTCCCCGGCCTGCGCGTCCAACTCCTCCTCGGCCCCGCGCATGCCCCCATCCGCCCACGTCGATGCGATCACCGCGGCGACGAGCGCCACAACGAGCAGAGGCGCCAGCAGGGTCACCAGCTGCGCCGCGTCCTCCACCGCGTACGCAGCCATTGGTCGTCACTCGTCAACAGAAGGGGGGGCGGTGGGGCTGATGCATGCGTACGCGTCTTTCTGATGCCGGGGAATGGCAAGCGGGCAGCAAGAATATGTAGAGGACGGACGGACGGCCACCGTGTAGCTTTCTCGTGCGCAACCACCAGCGCCATGGATCGTGTGAGCGAGCTCCGCAAAGCGGCCGCCAGGCCGGCCTCGTACTCTTTTTGTCTCGGATCATGAAAAGTCATGCCATGGCTCAAGAACAGCAGCGTGTAACGCGTACATTTGATCGTTCACCTTTGTACGATGGTTCCCCGTCTGCCTGGGAATTCCGTTCCGGCAATGGCTCTTGTGTGTGCTCTGGTGCTCGTCCCGTGGGTACTGGGTTGGTTGGGCCTTCAGCGGTTGAGCCAACTCAGCCAAGCTTTTAGCTCTGTATACAGCAGTGCCTCCCCTTTGGGTAACTTTTGGGTGCTCACTAGCTGTTGAGATATACAAAAATAAAGCACAAACTACATGCCAGACGATTCAGAAGTTACAGGCCATTCTATAGCGATAGTTGGGTGAGCAAATGCCGTTATAGGTAAAAGATCATCCAAACTGAATCTGATAATGCATTCTGAGAGTTTGAAACTGAACTGAGCTCCAGCCGCCACCTTGAACTCTAAAAAAAAACTGAATCTGATAATGACACATGTTCTTTGAATTATGGATTGTGCCGGTACATAATGTAATTTGTGAAACATATTTGAATTATACATTTCCCTTGAACTATGTGCTAGAAAAGCCATCGTAGAGGCAGGATGAATGCAAAATACAGGGAAGACAGCAATGCTTGCTCTCTTTCGTTTCCCCCAACTTTTGGGTAATAAAGTACAGTTGAATCCTATCACCACTAGCCATCTATATTTGATTCTAAGGGAAAATTCAGTAGACAATATTAACCAACCAATTTTCTTAGCATCAAGATTTCAAACAAGCCTTTTACATGCCTTATTGCCTATTGCAAACCCTATAGCTTGAATAGAGAGACAAGTCTTCTCCCCATGCCTCCTACTCAAGAACTGGTGCTACCTCAGTTGGATTGCCCTCAAACACATCAGCGCTTGATGATTCTGACTCCTCAGGGAACTCCTGTGATTGGGATTCCTTGTAAGCAGGCGTGTCTCTGAAATCTGTTGCCCCATCGTTGTAGGTAGCCACAGCGACACCACAAGCAATGAGCTGCACAAGTAAGCAACATTGATTGGCAAGTGGGAACTCGCAAAAGGCGTGACTACTATTGGAATGGACAAAAAACATGTTCGTCCGTTTTTTTGGAAATCACTGGCAGTTTCCGTGACAATCAAGTTCATGCCTCAGCAAGGATGTATGGCTGCTGCTAATTACCAAAGTTCAGGATTGTTTCATTCAATGCACTGAGCAAAGAAATTATTTATTACTTCTCCTTAGTACATGTTAGTGTTGATCTCTCCAGCTCGGCCCAACGGCCGAGTTGGGCCTTGACCTCGCGCCCTGATCGGGAGCGCCCAACCCTATATGGTTGGTGGGCTCCCGTCGCACTGCGCTATAAAAGAGAGGTGGAAGCCGACGGCTCTCAGTACGAGGTTCACCGTGAGCCGCCACACCCACTGACAAACCCAATCCGATCTAGTGAGGGGCGCGGCCAGCGACGGAAAGCTCCACTGCCGTCTTCACCGCCGCCTCTGCGCCACCACTCCACTGCGACTGACCTCAAAACCGTCACAGGACATCGCCGACCCGGACCGCATCACTTTCGCCATGGCTACGTCGAGCTCTTCCTCCAAACCCGCAGATGGTCGGTGACATCTCACCTCCCTTCCTCTCTCTCTAGATCATGTTCTAGAAAGTTTTATCCCGTATGTAAGGTTGTACCCGCTAGATCTGTGTCTAGGTGATCCACTGTGTCTATCAATACAAGAACAAAGAACTTCATGAATGTTTTAATCACGGGAAAGGAACTTATTTAGTCAGGGACTCAGGGTACTGCAAATACTCAGGAGGCAGGACAAACGGTGAAACGAAGCAATAGCTGTCTGGCACTTCAAAGGGGTTATGTTGTGCCTGTGCGTGAAGTTACACATCAAAGCTGGAGACAAATGCACAATATTATACCACAATACTCACTGGTCTTGTCAAAAGTTCCCCGCTAACGTTTAAAACGTGTAGAATGGATTGTTTCATGGTTCTAATTAGCGTTTCTATATGCAGGGCAGTTCTACATAGAGACAGTTAAGCCATGGACATGTCCAATTAGCGTGATATCTTGCGGGGAAAAGATGTATGCTTCCACTTCAGAACACCCAGGCTAGTAGTGCAGGAATGCAGGATAATGGAGAGAAGGAGGCACTCACGCCGAAGACGACGCCGAACGCCCACATGTACTGCACGAAGAAGCCGAGGGCCTCCCACTGAGGTCCCTCCCAGAAATCGGGCGTCTCCGGGTCCGGCAGCTGCGGCATGGGCTCCGTCGACACCTCGAACCCCAGCGGCTCCCCTTCCCACTCCGCCGCCCCCGCCTCCGTCGCGTCCTCGTCCACGTCGGGCGCCGCGACCCCGCCGCGGCGCTTCTTGCCTCCGCGTTCCTCGAGGCGCCGCTGCGTGCGGGACGAGACCCCGCCGCGGCGCGCGAGGGCCACGTGCAGCGCGGCGCGACCGCCTCCAGAGAGGAGAGGAAGCGGGGCGACGCGGCGGCGGATGGCGGCCGCGCCGAACGGCGTGGGGGAGGCGAGGAGAGACATGAGGCCGAGGCTGAGGCTGCGGGACAGCGAGAGGCACTGTGAATGTGTGAGGTCACGTGGAGAAGCTGCAGCGTGGAGGCGGGGAGCTCCTGGCTGTGGCTGTCTCGAGCTGGGAGGGTGGGAAGAGAGATGAGATAAGATATTTTCTCCTTTTTGTTCTTGGTATATATAATTTGGGTTTTTTTTCTTTCATTTCCATGTATATACTAAAATGGAGTTGATTTCTTTTTTTTTTCAGGAAAAAGCTTCTCTTTCTTGTCAAGAACTTTGAGTCATGCGAATCACCTCGTGAAAAAAATAGAAGTATCTTCTTCCTCCTATAAACTACGTGCGAAGGTATAAAAGGCGTACTTGGTTTGTTTGCCCGTTACTACTCATGCTGAGCTAAAAATGTTAAGCAGCTAACTTGTTTGGTTGTGCGAGCAAGATTATCCTTGCTAAAGCAGGGGAGCCAAATTGGCTCACCTGACCAGGCAAAGCAAAGCTTGCACATGTACAGTGCCGGAGCATGCAAGTAGATCAAGGGGGGCTAATTAGTAGTTGATTCTGGTTGGTATTGCTGCCTGCCATTTGCTCTAGCAGTGTTGGCTGCTAGCATTGATCTCTCTCAGGACACGAACAAACATAATCTGCATTCTGCCCCGTTCGGCTGGCAGAATTTTGGCTGGAACTGTCTGAAAAACACCGTTCTGCCTGAATTGTCGTGAGAGAAAAACACTGTTCCGGCTGAAAAAAAAAGAAGCCAAACAAACCGAATATGGGGTAAGCCGAACAGGGCAAAACTTATGCATCCCAGTGCCCATGCAGATAAGGCTAGGCGAGCAGGCAAATCTACCGAGCACACACAAAACATTGGAAATATTAAATTATCTAAATTTATAGATATTATATAGTAAACTTGGTACACCTATACTTCATGTTAGATATAAATCCATGAAGAAAATTAAGTTAAGACTTGGTACCAGCAACTTATCATTTTTTTAGTTAAACTAAAGTGATTTTAAACTTTTATGTTTTTTGGATGTCTATCAATCTCAAATATAGATGTACCAAATTTCATATTTTTTCCCAAAAACTTTTATGTATAGCACTACATAAATAAATAGTACGTATTTAATTGATGCATGAACTAGCTTATAGCAAACATTGTTTCGTTTGAGAGTCCACTAGGCAATATATATTTGAAACGCTCCATACTTGATTTTGGCATTTGGCTCTCGCTTCTTCAGAAATGGCTATGGCTCTAACTTCTTTGATAGAGCCGAAGCACAAATTTTTAGTACATGTTTGTTTGCCTGGATGGCTCGTTCAAACAAGCCCAGTCAAGATAATAAAAGGCCGGTCTACAAGCTGAAACCTGCTGTGTTGTTTGCAGCGGCCCAGGTAAGCTAGGTTCATAGGAGATTATGTTTGTTTGCATGGTTTAGATGAGGTCCATGCAACAAATGAGTTGGGGAACTACATGTTGCCCAAAATGCCCAAAATGGCCCGAGAGAGTCAGCGCGTGGCTGAGCCCACGAGAAACGAAAGTTGATCCCATTTCTCCCACTGTGGGTGCTTTAAACACCGTGCGCCCAGGCCTACGCTGTTGCCTGGAAAATAAACA